ATAAATTTAAAAAAAATAACTAATTGTGAAGCGCAATTTGTCGTTTATGCAAAAATGCGATTCGTTCAAACACAAAAATGATGAATTCCTCTGTTGTACGCGCGCATAAATTTATCTTTAACGATCCGCCGTTCCAGCGATAAGCTTTATTATTTGTCTGCATATCCAGTCTTCTCTCACTATGCGAGAGTTGTGTGTGTGTGTATATGATTCGAAGATAAATCACGGAATTTTAGTATGGCTCCAATAAAATTACAATACATTCCGAGTAATATTCCGACGCTAAACCGCCAAGAAAGACATTCCAAACGAAGATCAAACAATAAAGAACCGATGTTTATTGAATAGGCGATAATGTATAAAGAACGGTTGTTTCTCCGAGCGGAGAATTATTGTTATTCCGATCGACGCCCTTCGTGCAAGTAATATCTGTTATGCATATTTTTTTCATAAGGTTACGGCAATTGAATATTAATATTTATTTTCGTTTCTTTTTAAATGGAGATTTCAGTTTCGTTTGGACTTTCTCGAGGGAAGTAAGTAAGTGTTTCTGCCTGTATAAAACTCACTTTTATTCTTCGTATCCAATACAAACCTACGCGTTTCCACTAGTCCGCCCACGTTTCGCGAATGACAAAAAGCAATATTTATAGTCGGCCGTATACAGGTGTGGTTGGTTGTGTCTGAATTATTGTCGTAACCACTTTCTGTTTCTCAATACGCTAAGAATATTACTCCCCGGACAAATCTAGTCTTTTTTTATTATTATTAAATATTTACAACGGCTTTTGCATTAGTCTGTTTTACATTTTTTTTTTTAGTTGTTCTTGTTCAATTTTCTTTCTTTAGATTCTTTGCCATTATGAGTAATCAAATGATATAGTTTATAATAAATTTGCATGCGTTGGTATGCTGCTAAAATTTACATTTTGTACTAACAGGTTATTAGCGTAAATGACCTTTGTATAAATAATAAAGTAGCTGCGCTCTAGACGAGGAGAGATGATAGAGTGTAAGTAAGAAAATAGTGTCCGGTAGTAATGTAAATAAAATATTGGATCAAATCCCGAAGCCGGTGTTCATTAAGATTAAATGGAAAGTTATATAGAGACATTAGTCTCGCAGGAAATAAATTTCCTTATTAATCCACTTGCCGTAGCTGGGCCACAAGTTTATAATCTCGTTATATGCAACGCTAATTTAATTCCAGCCAGACGTTCTTTATCGACTCGCATTTTGCTTTAAAGAACCGTCTCCTAAAACAACTCTTAATTAAGGTTCATACTAAAGAAAAACAACTATAGAAAATATCGGTTTTTTTTTAAAACAGATTTTCATTTGGCTTCAGAGAACATTAAAAAACCGTTTCTTGAAAATACCGATTTTCAATTTTAGTTAGTTTTCCATTCTTTAAGTGAAAAATTAAATTCATAGATTTTCGGTATTCATTAAAAAAAATAGCTTTTTCTTATTAATTACCGGTAAATTTTACTCTTTCCAAAAAACATTGTTTATACTTAAAATCTGAAACTATAATATACAAATTGTTGGTATTAAATATAAATTTCACAGAACCTTCAAAAGCCGTTTTTTTTTAAATTTCGGTTTTGTTTCATTTTTAGAACTTAATGAATAAAAGGTTTTCCATTTTTATACTGAAATAATCTAAACTAAATGGAATTTAGATACAAAAATGTAATGAAATATACAAAGACAAATCTCTGGATGAACTTGATTTAGTGAATTTTCAAAGTCTTAATATTTTAGTGTATTTTGTGCAATTAAAAACCCGTATTGGAATTTTACATATTTATCATAACAATTACCAAGTTTTAAAAAAATAAAATATCAAAGCCAGTTTTTCTTGTTCTTTCCCTATTTATTTGCTTCTTCCTACATAAATATATTAGTATGTGTATAAATTAAAATTTGGCTTCAAAGAACATTAAAAAACCGTTTTTTTTGAAAATACCGGTGTTCTTTCAATCTCAATATTTACAAAAAATGGTTTTTCATTTTTTATACTGAAAATTTAAATTGACAGATTTTCGGTATTTTTATACAGAACATTCTGTTTTTAAATACCGGTTTTGTTTATTATTAAAAATTAAAACCAAAATAAACAAATTGTCGGTATTTTTATATAAATAATCTGAACTTGATGTTCATAATTTAATGAATCTTCAGAATCTTAATTAAGAAATCTTAAATTTCTGTTTTATTTTGTTGAAAATTTGCAAATATTAATTGTAGTGTGTTTTGTGCAATTAAAAAAACCGGTATTCGAATTTTATAAATTTATCATAACAATTACCAAGTTTTGAAGAAACAAAAAAAGGTTAAACCCTAAGTCCAATACTGATTATTTCTACGGTAAATACAAAATACATAATTCAAACAGGCACTAATATTTATACAGATTGTAATCTCCTGGATGAGATGTAACGAATGTCTTCTCGGAAAGCCAGTTTTTCTTGTTCTCTCCCCATCTCTTTCCTTCTTACTACATAAATATATATATCAGTATGTGAGTGTGTGTGTCTCTGTATCAATTGAAAACTTATTGAGCTTCCGGTTTCTGGGTTTCAATTATGAACTTTCAGCGAGTGCGGTTAATCGTATGAGAGAAGATGGGGCGTGATCGTTAGGATGCGGAGAGCAGGAGGATTTCTAAGTCCGAGTCCCGTTAGTTAGTAACCATCACAATCTGGTTCACCAAGCCTTCCTTCCCTCTCCGATCTCCCAACTAAAACTCGACTCAACTCATCTGGTTTTCGAGATAGAACCGCCGACGCCGCCGCTACCAACGGATTCACAATTTGCTAGAGAAGGCCTCGGTTATTGTAACAAAAGAGAAGAGAAGTTCGAAATAATGTCGGGGCTAATTGAAGACACGGAAATACACGTTGGGAATACGCTAATACATCCATCGGTTTTAGGGCGATGTTCGAAGCGTGTTTCGCGTTCGACATGTTACAAGAAAGAAAAAAATAATAATAAAAAGTTATCAATCTATTATTCATTTATACTGGATGGAGCCTGTTGTAACATCGGCGAACTGAATTATTCCCGACATATTTTCTGCTCGTTCTGCAGCGGAACACACGTGCATTCGAACTGTGTGCTGCATGCATCTAAATTCAAACTAGTTTGTTTTAAAATGAAAACACATCCATTATGCACCTACCCTCGTGCCGCTGCAAGCGCAACTCATCTTTGAATACTTTTTTGCACGTGTAACTTCCATTTCCATCGTTGACTCTGAACGTTTAACTGATGTTTATGTAATAACATCACAGTCATTTCATTTACACATTTTTGTTATTCCTAGAGTTTATATGCGTCTATTAATCTTGTGATGAAGAGATTTATTCATAATTTATACTGTGTTGGATGAGCATTTCAAAGATCTTTCAAAATTTCATTTCATAATTAATAGAAAAGTGATTATGATGATATGTGATATTTATGTTTTTTTTTTTAAATTAATTAATTTATTTAATCAATAATCAATAATCAATATTACTATATTTTAGTATGCTTATATCAATTTTACTGCGAATAAATCAAAAGTGAAATATTACAACAATATATTTTCACATGAATTTCATTATTAGGAAAGCTGAATGAAGGCAAGTAATGTTGCGTTATTAATCATTTACAAAATCCGAGCTACACTTGATTAAATTATGGTTACTTTGTTGATTAAAACCGACGTAGTTACATCCAAATTATTATGTATATTGTATAAAATTATATAAGAAATATGTTTGTGATATACATTTTTTGATTACTATTATATGTTTTAATAAATTTAACAACAAAATTAAGCAATGCATTTTTTATATTATATTTCTGTAATATTTTACTAATTGAAGTGTAATAATTGGAATAAATTCGTTTGATAAATATGTTAAGAATAAATGTAATTAAATAAAGTTTTGTGACTTTTACATGATATTAAACTTAAATCATATTAGTTGTATGAAACTTTGGATAATGCATTGATGCACGTTAATATGGAAAGTTACCTTGCTTCGGTACACTATCAATTTTACCTTGAATAATAAAGCCTAAAATGATATATTAGAAGTATAAGTTTTCGCTTTATTTTTAATATCGAGGGAAAAGCTGAATGCCTCAGCAAGAGCAGTAGGTAGTGCTCATTATTCATCGACGCTTTTCACAGCGAAAATCTGTACGAAGCTCGATCAAATTTCGCTACTTACACTCTCGTTACATATATTGATCCGGTCGAATGATTATGCACGTTTGCACGTGATTTCCCTACACATTAATATGCAACTTTTAATTTCGCTCGTTTGCAATTAAACTAATGCTTTGACCATTGCATCGCATTCAAGGTAATAATAATAATAGTAATAAGTACTTGTTTAATATAGAGAACGCCTCCTACGATCTCTGTATATGTGTATATAATATAAGTAATAGAGATATCATGTACAGTTATTTACGTTTGCTGTGCAGGTGGTTTAAGTTCAAAGGTGTATAATATTATTAGAAGTCACACACACACAAGGTAACGTCTTTGCGCCGAACGTCTGCTCTAAATAAAGGTAAATGTAATACAGACACACTCTCACATAGATGAAGAGACTAATACCTATATATAGAGAGAAACAAAGTGTGTGTGTGTGTGGGATGGAAGTAACTGTTTAGACAGGGGTTAAAGAGCACCTGACATTCCCGCAATAGTGCATATAACGTGATTACCTTAGAGGTGTGGCTACTCCGACTCATTAGAACTACTATGTACCGTAATTATTCGGACGGCCATTCATAATCGTTCGTTCCAGCAACAGCTGCTATTTATTTATTTATGTAACTTATCGACGGGTCCGGTAAAATTGTATTTTTCGTTTTCTGGATTCGGAATATCCGATGTTTTATAATTCGCCCACCGCGCCTTAACCAGAATCCAAAAAAGGGCAGCGCCACTGAATATATATTGTATCTTTATGAAAATTGGTTTTCCTTAGGTGCGCTCGAAAAATGCAGACACCTTGTTGGACGGATCTTGTTGGCGGACAGATCGAGATATTGGAATTCGCGCATTAACAGTGATTTAGTGCACCATGAAGCCGATAAGTTTCGAGAATTTGAAGCGCCTGATGGGCGGTGGTAGGAAGAAAAAGGATAAGGAATCGTCGTTCAAGAGGAGCGAGTCCTTTAAACGAATTTCGATTAGGAAGAGTTATCTGGATCGAGGGAAGAAGAGGCATCTCCATAAGTTGGAGGTGGCGACGCAGACGGTCGTTGAAGAGACGGCTGCGGCTTCGGTTTCAGAGAAAGTGGATAGTTCCGTGCAAGTTGAGCTTCAGGCTTCGAGCAGCATTGAATCGAACGAGAAGCGCGAAGGACCCGGACAAAGTGTGATAGCTTATGGTCAGTGGTTGAAATGCATCAAGAAGGAGGATCCAACGAATAATGGGAAGTCTACTAAAGGAGCAGAGCGTACTATTATCTATGTACCTGCTTCGGACGAAATCAAAGCACCTCTCATTAGGAAGCTCTCTTCTTCTCCTACGTCCCGTAAAAAGTCGCTGAACTTGGATAAATCGTCCCCGAATTTACAGAGGCAGGAGAGCAACGATTCAGCGCTGGAAATGTTTCCGTGGGGCGATTCCACCGAAGTCCGGAAGTCGCCCATAATCCGGCGAAGAACGAAAACTCCACCGCTGATGCCGGATTCCGGGAACGAAGAGCTTTGCTCGCTGTCCATAAGTTTAGGTAGGATCTGGATGGACGCTCCTCAAGTCATGGCTCCTCGCAGCTTGGAGATGCCGAGGACGTCGCAGTCCGCAGTTCACGCTCACAACTCCCTCGATAGCGCTCTGAAAGATTTACGAGACGACCCGATAGTGATGAACCGCCTCCAAAAGCGAACTGTCCTCCCCATCGGAAGAACGTTATCATCCACCAGCAACACCACCGCATCCACCGGACTCTTCTCCAGCAAAGATTCCGGATTCTCCTTCAGCATACCCAAATTAAGTGACGATAGTCTCATGTCCCGAAGACTCTTCCGCAAGAAACGCACGAAGCCCAAATTATCAGTAAGTCGCGACAATTACTTCAAGAGAACGTCAGAAGCGAGTTCCATACGCAGACACAGCAGTCGCAAAAAGAAAACGCGAAACTCTTTAAGAAAACCCACTAAGGGCGAAACGTACCAAATCACCGGAAGACCCTACAACAGATCTCTGAAATCTCTCAAGATGGACCCCATGATCTTCGTTCCACCCGAGAAGCGAAAGCCTACAGATAAAAAACGGAAATGCTTCAAGATCCATGAAATAAGGAACCTCACGCCCTGCATCGATACCATTTACTCGAAGAAGTACGCTGACAGCGATGACGGTTTATACGAGAGCTTGATCGGCGACGCGGAAGAACTGCAAGTAGTCGATCGAATTTCGCGAATGCATCTCCGCAAAAAAGAGGAGGATCATTTGGGAGGAAGCGATGCGTTTCCCGGAAACGAGGCCCAACTGTCCGACGAATCGAGCAACTCCGAAATTGATTCTTCCGCTGCGAGCGACGATGATTACTATTACAGTTCCTCGTCGATAAGCGATGGTGGTTGCCCTCCCGTAGGAGTATCCTCTTCTGCTGCTCCCAGGAGACGCCCGGTCCGTAGACGCAGGTCGGAACTTTCGCGCAAACGAAGCATAACATATGTTGCGAAGCCGACGATATTGCGAGTGCCATCCACACTCAGACGACCTCATAAAAAAGTTGGTGAGTAGTAAAACACGATGTTTTTGCTGCAGCTTGAAAAATCTACCAATTAGTTGTTGTCGTCTTCAACCCGGAGCGTAAAAGCTTAAATTGTATCCTTATGTCGCTGCATAAACATTCACATAATCATCGGGTTCGTTGCACTCCACACAAGTTTCGATTATCCTTCATCTTATGTACGTAATTATACGATTCATTCAGAAACAGTTAGTTGATCAATCAATGCATCCTTCAACTCATCGAAGTAAATATAATCTAAATTTGTAATTATTTCTATTGCAACATATTTATATAACAGTAAGCAAAATGAAACTTTTTATAAGTACTAAAATAAATAAAACTATAAAAACATGAACTATTCCTATTAATGTCAATATTGCATATACTCACAAGAAATATTAAGTTTGAACAATTAAATTATACATGTCTTGACAGATTGACCTAAAAAGATAAAGGTCACGTACAAAGGAGATGAGAAACATCTTGAAATAAACTAATATTATTTTATGAAAATCTAAAAAAAAATATAATTTACAATTATAAAGAAACAGAAAACAACTAATGTAAATTGAAATTGTCCAATAGTTTTATTATTGAAAGTAAAGATCCTACAATAAATGTCTTTGAAATTGATGTTTTTTAATTTAATTTCAAAGTTAGTTCTGCTCACTGAACTCCACAATTGGAGATCGTAGGTCTAGACTGGTTTCATTATGTCCTTATATATTACTAATTTCTGTTCTATTGTGATTTCCTTCTCGGAATCCGATAAAGATTTCTGAACTTTAGTTCGCTTGAGCATTTCAATTATTCTATATACTCTTTACAAATGTTGCATTAAAAATTACACTGAACTGAAGAAAAAAAAAACCATTATGATTATTTTGAAATCAAATCGTCTTTATTAAATGGTTATGCTTTGTTGACTCTTTATGTATTCTTGCTTTGATTCCGCAATATTTTAATTGTATTTTTTTATAATCGTGAAAAATTGCATTACAAAATACTGCATTAAAAATAAATTTTAATAAAGAATAAAATTATGTTTCGTAAATAATCAAATCATTATTATTAAGTGGTTATGCATGAACATCCAACATCTCTTCGTGTTTATTATGACTACGATTTCGGAATATTTGCGAACTTCAGATGTGTTTTCATTAATACTTAATTTAATTCCGGCGTTATGAATTTATATACGAAGCGACGAGAATTTCTTGCAAAAGGATTTTGGAACTAAAATGTACGTGAGCATATGTGTGTTAGTCTATGCTATAGATATAGGACTAATGCAGTTAAATGGAGAGACATAGCAAGAGAGGAATGGAGAGAGACAGAGAGAGAAATAGACTTTCATTAAATGCCAGAATTCTAAATTACATTTCTGTTGTTCAAATATATTACTCGGCAATGAATCTAATTCAGAGATACTGTCACATGGAAATTCAATTATTTTCCGTGCACCGTGTTTAATTTGATTCAAACGTAAAACGTTCGTTAATCGCGTTATGTAATATATTTTAATTCTCCGATGTAATCTGTGTATGCATTATTTTTTTTAACACATACACAAATATATAATTATTTAAAATTTGATAAATCCAATGAAATTCTATTATTGAAACTTATACTGTTTCATTTTCATGTTTGCTTTTAGTTTTGGTAATTGGTACTTATAAGTCGTTTCAGTTGGTACACTTGCCATACGTTGTATGAAAAATTAATTTGGGACACATGAATTGTTGTTAGGTTTTTGTGGTCATATGAGCGTCCACTAAATCCTAAAATCCTTAAGGAGGCACATAAAACTTATATCGTTTTATAGGTATACTTGTATTAGACAACATTACGTAGATTGTAGACATGTTAAGTTGGTACTTTGTGACATATGTCATTTACTTATCTTAAGCTTACCAACATGACTATATATAGTGATTTATATAATTTAAGTTGGTTCACTTGTTTCAAGTGTTTTCGACGAAATCGTAATTTATATTTACGTTGGTGAAATACTACTTAATTAATTATTGATTTAATTAAAAGATAAATTCTGTAATACCGTCTGGGCGAATGAAATATTGAAATGATACGTACGTAGGACGATTCAAGAAGAGAACAGAAAGAAGGGCACAATGAGTAAAAAAAAAGAGAGGAGATGTTGAAGAGAATACGGCGTGGTTGGTGTTCTTTTTGTCGCGTACGAAATTTTAAATTATGTATTTTGCATGTTATCACGATGTACGAGTTAGAAATCTTTGCAACCACCCGCAACGATCGTGAGTTTTATTATAAAGAAGACCGTAACGAAGACACGGTTATCGTGATTCGCGCGGAGGAGCGTGCAGCGCACTATTTAAGATGGATAGAAATTATCGATTTTCCCAAATAATACAAGACTCCTCCACCTCCATCACCTCTTCTTCTTCTTCTTGATGCATGCTACTTCATTATTTAGACAGGCAGCTCCGTTAATTGCTCCGAAGGAAACCGTTCCAAGAGGTCTTAACATCACAAAAGACACGCTGCGAATTGGCGCTTCGTATCATCATCGTCGTGACATCATCTACAAAAGAAATTGTTGCTCAACTTTGAGAAAGGTGATGGAGGAGTTTTTGTTTTGTTTTTTTGGAAAGATTCCCTTCATTCCACCCCTATTTATAAATCCCTTTTCAACGTACTAAACGGAACTAAAAGTTTACATAGGCATCGATCGACTTGTGCCCTCTGTATAGAGAAGGCAAAAAAAAAACATGAAGAGACCTTTTGATTGAGATACATCCCTTCGAGCGGAAGTAGTAGTAGTAGTAGGAGAGGAAAAATAAAGAAAGGAATGCAACGAACGGAAGAACAAACATTTCTCAAGCGCTGGCAACAAGGAGCCCCGATGTAAATGGAAGTTGGCCTCCTCGAAGCTCCGCTACTTGATTTATTTAGTTAAATTTAAATCTCGATCCGTTTTCCAAGAACGAAATCGCCTACTCTCTGGCAACTTCAAACAACGCAATGTCTACCTACCTACCTACGAGATTCCAACGAACTCTGCATCTTATCCTGCGTATAATAACAAGTATAACTTTATACGTATGTGAGTAAACATATTAAATTACGCCCTTCCCAAATTGTGCGGAAGTATTAACTAAGATTCATGCTCGAAAGACCCAAGGTTTGATGTGGTCCAAGAAAACTTAGCCCTAACTAACTTTGTTCCCAGTTTTGTTTTACAACAAATATGACACTTCTTATTAAAATACACACTCATATTTAATTAGAAATTACATCATTCATAACATAAATGTTTGATTATATCTATGCACATTATTATAATTACTTTGATTATCTATGTTTTCCTTTAATTGAAAATCAGAAAGACTATTAAATATTACTAAAACTAATATCAAAATTGTTTTCTTCTTGTAAAACGAATGAAGTGGAAACTTTCCATGACCTTGCTTTTGGTTCAAGTCTTCGCGCGATACTCGTTTTGTGCAGAATAATTTAAAAACATGTATTGCAACACCCTAACTGTGTTTATATAAATAATATTATGAACTTATAATAAATAACAATATCTTTACGTTTTCATCTATATTAATTCCAGTCAAAGCTTTTACTTTATTTGTAGTTCTGGTTCCAAGAAAACTATACATAATATATTAATATATTCTATAAGATTAAGACAATGATACGTATATTCCATAAGTTTTCTCTTAAACAATTTACTACAATTAATTATAGCTCTTACAAATTATCATACAATAACCAGTCACAATTAGATTCTTAGATATCATTAATTTTAAATTTAATTAAAATTATTCTACTTAATGCAAATAATACTTGGAAATAATTTGTTTAATAATTAATATTTTATAACTTTTATTTGAGGAAATTATAACTTTTTCTTTGATTAAGTAATTAATATTGAATTGAATTTGAACTTAATTCAACTAATAATTCATTGTATAATTGCTACAGTTAAACTATAATTAAAATCTTCTGAAATCTACAATTTATGTACATTCTTTCAGCATTCATAATATTAGGAAAGTCTTTGACTAACTGAAATTTATATTTTGAATGTAGATATTATGAGGCAGTAAACTAACTTACTGTTAGATATATGTATCACCTACTATAATATTATCTAATTCCACTCTTTATGATAAGTATATTGAAATCCTTTCGTAAGTTGTAATAGATTTACTGTCCAATCTTCCAGTAGCTTTTTCTTGTCAATAACGAATAAAAATGTAGTTTATTTACTCTATCTGTATACGATCTGTTCATTACCATTACATAATTACAACTTTTAAATAAGTGTACGAAAGTTATAATTGATTTACTGTAGAATCTCACAAAATAACGCATAAAAATGTAATTTATTTATGATATCTCTCTATACGATCTGTCCATTATTGGAATGGTATGTTAATATCGTATTAACATAGGATCACCGTAGCGGCATATCGTCTAAATAAATCATGGTGCGACATCCGGAATTTAAAATAGAAAATAATGGAGAAGCCCGTTGACCCGGAGAAATTTGTAGAAAACCCTTAGGAAGGACCCACCGGACACGATCCTAATTCCATTTTCTGCGACCCTCCTGAAACTGAAAACAGAAGAATGCCCTTCCGATCTGTCGTCCTTAATGTAAACTTTACTGTTCATTAACGTTACCAAATCTGTTGTGTATGCCTATTCAAAAGCGAGGACATTAACACTTTACGGTATAATTAACGTCTATCGAACGGATCTGCATCTTCGTTTTACCGGTAAAGGATCTATACTTTTTGTTTGTTTTGATTTACCGCATCTTGGATTATTGACATTGACTTGGAGCAGGAGGAGAAGGTATGAAACATGAATATAAAATATCTTTATGCAGTATACGAAGAAAAAAAAATGTTGGAGAATTGTAAAACACGGCAAAGTAAATGTATTCGCTGCATTCGCAAGTACAAAGAGCAAATGTAAAGTAAGGAAACATGGAGCGATGCAGAAACCAGTA